GAGAGGGGAAATCTTTCCTTCAGCGGGTCGGTGAGGGGAAGAAGAAGAGGGAATGGAGATTGGGAAGCAGAGGAAGAGTGTTTTGGAAGCTGTGGTTCATACTATACTATCAGAGTATTATTCAGAGTCTTGGAATCTTTATTATCGGCTTGCTTGCTTGCTTCTTCTTCTTCCTCCTTCCCTGGCGCGGCAAGAGGCAGAGAGTTTTTTTTTTTTTTTTTGGCGTTGGAAGGAAGGAAGGAAGTGGAAAGGGGGAAGAGCTGACAAAATCCAGAAAATGTTTGGAATTTATGTAATGGGGGAAATTCCGCTGAGAAGAAAATGCATCATATTTAATGGGGGAAATTCACCACCGAGCTCCGAGCCGGCACCGCCACATTCCTCAAGAAGATGAAGGAAGGGCGGCCGGCAGATTAATGGGGAAAACCCTAAATTGGGTTGGGGAGGAAGGAGGAAGAAGGGTTGGGTTGGGTAGGGTTGGGTGATGGGTTGGGTTGGGTTGGGTTGGTTTTAATGAGGTGGCGGGTTATAATGACGTGGCGGGTCGGGTTTTATTTTTGTTGGGTTAATATCCGGCTGATTAGGCAATTCTGTTTGCCACATCAGCACTTAACGGACTTCATTAACGGAGTTGGACGGAGACTAACGGCGAGTGACTAAATGCGTCCAGTTTTAGTAATTGTAGTGACCAAATTTGATATTAAATTTTTCTAGTGACTAAACATGTCCCGATTTTGTAATCTCAGTGACCAAATGTGTCTTTAACCCGAAAAGTGTGGTATTTTTGGAATTTTTCAAAAATCGATGATTTTTGTGTAATTGTTTTATTTAGTGGTATTTCTGGAAAAATTTCCTCTTCTAGTTTGTGTTTTCTTTCTCTCTCTATGACTTGAATATCTAATGGTTGTTTAGGAAAGATGAACCCTAGTTTATAGGTTGTGAATGAATGGATTTTGTATGAATGTGTTTACCTAGTTGATTTGAATGCCTCTCTAGCTTTAATTGTGCTTGGGTAAGCCTAATCTTCTATAGTAGCCTAATTGAGCTTCTACGCTAGGTATGGAGTTTTAGCGTTAGACGGGTATGCGCCCTCAGGCAAATTAGGGCTAGATGAATGAATGGGATCTTATGGTCGTCGAGGCGACCGTACCCCTTCCATAAGAATGCCTTCCTAGATAGAACCTGGGGTGAAACCTCGGTGTGAATGGTGGGTATTACCCATTGAAATGAGTTATGTTCTTAAAGCCCCAGATACGATAGGCTAGATCGAGGCGACTGACATGGGTTTAGGGGAGGCGTACCTGGAAGCGTGTGGATAACCACGAAAGCCCACAGAAAAGAGCTCACTCACCACATTCTCTTAACCCTACATGACAACCATATCTAGGAGGATTCGACCCTAGGCAACCATCTCATCTCTAGCGTTCTCCCAACCACTTGTTTGGTTGTTTAGGAGTAGGATAGGTTAGATCTTCACCAAACTTCTGATTCAATTAGATAGTAGTTCGAAGTGAAGTAATAGTAAGCTGAGGGTTCCCTTGAAAAATGACCGAGCCACTTTACTACAACCCTAGCTAGGTTATGCTTGGCTTAGTTAGGATTGAATAGAGAGAGTGTATCGACTTATAAATTTAAAACTCGATCACGCACGAGCGATCAAATGACCCCCAGTTAGTTGGGTTAAATCCCCGACCGGGGATCGGGGTTGACGAGTGATTTTACGTTTTTTGTTTAGGGTTCTTTTCCTTTTCGGGGTTTTCATTAGTTTTTGTTTCTTTGGCCTATATAAAGGCTTCAATTCGAGTTTTGTGGCAGATTTTGAAGAATATTGATTTTATCTTGGTTCATTGAGATTTAGTCTTGTGAATTTTCTCCGCATCAATCAAATTTTCACTTTAATTATGCATAAGATTCTACCCAGGTGCGAGATCTCACTTCAATTCCACCTTATCCCTATCTTTAATCCTTGTTTTAGGCTGTGTGACTTAGATAAGTACGGGTACCACCGTCATGCTCGTATCAAGTGGTATCAAAGCCCGGTTCAACACAGTAGCGAGAACGAAGGTGAGAGGACCTGTTACTTCTTGTAAGAGATCAAAAGACCCCATAGCAAAACGTATTGCGGAGGAGGATTCCTTGTCAGATGAGGAAATCTCACCCGAAGAGCGAACCATGGAGTCAAACCTTGCAGAAGCCATGAAACAACTTGAAACACAGATGGCTCAAATGGGAGCTTTGCTTCAAACCCAACAGAAAGTTATCAAAGCTTAGCTCGTTGAAACCAACAAGCATCAGGATACCCTAATCACAAGTTTTGAAACGCAACTAGTGGGTTATCCACTAGAGAATCCAATAGTTGTTGCTGCTCAGGCTGGAGCCGAGAATCGAGAGAGCCCCATAGCATAATGAGTTCAGAATGATCAAGCTTTTCTTGAGACCCCAGATTGGCTATGCAGAGGTGTCAAAAAATAGGTCATCATCGCCAGGTAATCACCCAGTTTCGACCTCAATTTAATGATTATGAAGATGATTACAATGATTATGGTGGAAGACCAACATGATTATGGCGTTTGATTCGATTCGAGGAATCAAAATGGTATTCCTCTGTTTCAAGGAACCAACAGTGCTTCAGCTTACCTTGATTGGGAGAGGAAGATGATCTTGTTCTTTTAGTGTAATCCTTATCCGGAGAATCAAAAAGTTCTGGTAGTCACCTATGAGTTTACGGATTATGCAGCCGCTTAGTGGGAACAAGTTTAGCTGCGATGCAGAAGAAATATGCAGCATCTTGTTTCTACTTGGAAAGAATTGAGAGTTCTGATGCTTGATCGATTCTTGCCTCTTTTTTATCAAAGAGAACTTCATGATTCCTTGTGGGGAATTTTCTAAGGAGCACGCTCTGTTGATGAGTACTTCAAAGAGCTTGAATTGCTATTGACGAAGGCAAATGTGAGGTGGATAAGGAAGCAACGATTGCTTGATTTCTACATGGTCTCAATCAAGAGATTAGGCACAAAGTTGAGCTTCATCAATTTGTGGATCTGGAGGAAGTGGTTCACCTAGCCATTGACGTGGAAAAAGCAGATGAAAGTCAGCTATGGAAGAAGGTTTCCACCTGTAACTAAACTAGTTGCAGAGAACATGTGTGAGATCGTTATGAATCATTTCAAACCAGAAGGAGTCAAGCCAGTAGAGAGAAACCATGCTCCTGTTATTCAATCTAGGCCCGAAGGATCAACTGGAAGCATCCAATACTTCAAATGTCTAGGTCGAGGTCACAAAGCAAACCATGCCCCAACAAGAAGACTTTGGTCGTGCGAGATGGAGAATACTTTTCTGAGGAGTATGAAGAGAAGCCAATGGGGAAAGGAATCAATCTGATTCTAATGATTATGTTGATGTTGATGAGCACATCACTGATGAAATCCCGCCAACAGGTAAGTTTCTTGGAGTAAATTATAGAGTGCTCTCCCTTGAATCTCTAGCTGGACAAGAACAACGAGATAATCTATTTCATACCCGCTGCATGATAGATGGAAAGTTTTTGTCTGTGATGATCGATGGTGTTAGCTGCACCAATGTAGTGGTCTTGATGCAGTTAAGAAGTTAGGACTGAGTACCGTTAAGCATACACACCCTTACAACCTTCACTGGTTGAACGACTATGGAGCTATCAAGGTTAACAAGAAGACCAAGGTTCTATTTTAGACTGGTGAGTGCGCAAATGAAGTCTGGTTTGATGTTGCCCCAATGCAAGCTGCCCGTCTCTTATTGTGTTGTTTGTTCATGGCAATATGATCGTGGAGTTATTCACGACGGGAGACATAATAGCTACCAGTTCAAGCAAGGAGATCAGAAGTTTGTACTCAAACCATTGCCGCCAGCAGAAGTCCGAGAAGATCAACGACAGATGGAGCTGAAATGGGCAAGGGAGAAAGGAAAGGCAAGTGGCTTGAAGTCAGGCGGGAAGTTCTGATGATACTCTTTGGCCTATATAAAGGCTTAAACTCGAGTTTTGTGACAGATTTTAAGGAATACAGATTTTATCTTGGTTCATTGAGTTTTAGGCTTGCAAATTTTCTCTGTATCACTCAAATTTTCCTTTGATTGTGGTCGAGATTCTACCTTTATATTGATAGAGCCTTCTCACAGGTGTGAGATTGCACGTCAATTCCGCCTTATCTCTATCTTTAATCCTTGTTTTATGATGTGTGACTTTGATAACTACAAGTACCGGTTCCGTGCTCGTATCACTATTTTTCTCAATATATTTAATATTTATTATACATATATAAAATCTTCATGAAATTGTATTACTTTTTAACTAATTTTCTTTGTTATAGTAATTAGTTGTTGTACTTTTTCACATATGTAATGTCAGTATATGTGTAATTGTATTCATGTGGTCGAAGTTATAATAATAAACTATTATCCATGAATAATCGTGGGTACCCAAAATCCAACCGGGTATGAGTAGAGTTTTGATATTGTACCCAATTCTTGTATGAGTATGTGTAAAACTCGAATTATTATGGATAGATTAATAAATATGCAGTATCTGCCCTTGACTCGATCTGTTGCCGTTCATGAATACAAGTCAATTAAAAAGTATAAAAATTAGGGAAAAAACATTTTAATTTCAACCTTCACATCTAGTGCAACTTAAAATTAATGGACAAGATATGTAACTACATACCATGATTATTCAGCCCAATAATTAATGAAGGATTTCTTACAAATTGGAAATCAAGATGCAAATATCAATTAATCATATCAAATAAGACTTACTCTAAGAATCCATAGAGTTACAAACTCAGACTACTAAGAATTTAGGGTTCCTCCGAGTCTACAAGTGGGCACTTAGTTGGGTCAAATAGTTTTGTTGGACTTTTAGGTTTGATTTCTCAGCCACAGGCCAGTGGGCCACAGCCAGCCAACACAGTACAGTACAAGAAAGATATACCACAATGCCATCTTCCACCAACACTTTCCTTCTCTGTTCATCCTCCTCCCCAGTCCTCTCTCTCTCTCTCTCTCTCTCTCTCTCTCTCTCTCTCTCTCTCTCTTTCTCAATTTTATAATTAACAGTCAGCTTAGCTCAGCTCAGCCTCAAGCCCCGCCATTAAACAAACAAACAAACAAGTTCATGCAATTAATTCCAAACCCCGTCCCTATATAAGAATAGATACTCGCGGACTCTCCCCTCTCCTCCAACAGAAAGAACAGTGAAGTAGCAGTGGTGGTGGTGGTTCCTCAATTCGAAGGCCCAAACCGATCGCATCATCATCGTCGCCAAATGCTGCCTCTTCCTCCTCCGCCACCAACTCCAGACTTGAAGAAGCACATTCATAACAGGATTTCCAATTCCCTAATCCCCTGGCAACGCTCTTTCGATTTCTGGCTTCGCACCGCCCGTATCTACGCTGGCTACAAGGTAAGAGCATACCCTTCCTCTTCCTGCTTCTCTTTCTCTCTCTCCCTCCCTCCCTCCCTTCTCATTTCCATTTTCCTTCCACCCATTTGCAGGTTTTCCAAGTCCGAGTGAGCTTCGTCAAGGATGTCCACCTCCAGGAAGCAATGTGGGAGCGCCAGCACCAGCTTGCCGCTGACAATATCTACTCCTTGTGCTCTGATCTCGGTGGCTTCTTCCTCAAGGTAGCTTATTCATTCCAATCTTCCCTTCTTCTATTCTCCAATGTCTCTTCTTCAATTCCTGCCACTCCTTCCTTCATTACTACCCCAGGTCGCTCAAATCATCGGGAAGCCTGACCTGGCTCCCACTGCATGGGTCCGGAGGCTTGTTACTTTGTGTGACCAGGCTCCTGCTACTCCCTTCCCCACTGTCCGACTTGTTCTCGAGAATGAATTAGGTCTTGGTTTAGATGATGTTTTCGATCGATTCGACCCCCAACCCCTTGGCTCTGCTTCCATTGCCCAGGTTCGTTCCTTCTTGCAATTCCCCAAAATGGCTGGCTACGGAATTGAATTGAATTGAATTCATATGTCTTCATGCTCTTTCCCCTAGGTTCATCGGGCGAGATTGAAAGGTCATAATACTGATGTCGTCGTCAAGGTAACCACTGCCTATCTTGTTGTTTCTTTTCATCATCCCTTGGCCCGGGGACTCGAGTAACGTTGGTGGTGAGGTTGTTATTTTATGACTCTCCTTCTTTGCCTCAATCTTAGGTGCAACATCCTGGTGTTGAGAAGCTGATGATGACGGACATCCGTAACTTGCAAGCATTTGCTTACTACATGCAGAAGACTGATATCAAGTTTGATTTATACTCCATCACTAAAGAGATGGAGAAGCAGGTGTGCCCATTGTTATCTTCCTTCTTCCATCCTTCATATTAGGAGGAAACATGGAACTTCTCTAGCTTGATGTTTTTTTCACATATACGGAGATTCTTGAACTCTTTCTGGTTGAACTTGTGAATCCTATGATGATGGATTTTGTTAGCAGGCTGCCTAATTCTTCATTCATCATTACGTTTTCTTTATGGGTGCTGTGATCTTAACTACATGCTTCATCCATATTATTGAAGATTGGATATGAATTTGACTTCACAAGAGAGGCTGATGCTATGCATAGAATCCGCTGCTTTCTATACGCGAATAACAAGAAGTCCCCTGTTTTGGTGCCCCGTGTGCTGAAGGATATTGTTACCAGGTATGGCTTACTGCATCAAGTTCATGTCCCATAAACGTGAATTATTTCCTTGCAGTTGGTTTATTATGGGTTGATCTTAATTCTTATCAATATGTTCTGCTAGGTAGTGGCTGTCCGACACAAAACTATCAAGTTTTTTGAACTCTTAGATGGTCTAATTTACCTGCTTATATGCCTGCAAGTTTTACAAGGCAATTGAGTTCAAACAATGACTTCAAAGATTGCTGGACATGTAGCATTAGCTGGACATGTACTGGAACTTGGAACCAAACATTGCTGGACATGTAGCATTAGCCTAAAGTCTGCATTTTATCTTTTCCATGACTTTGTAGATACCAACAGCATCTGCCGTTGCTACTTGCTATTGTTCTTGCTGCTTCGTGCTGCTAAACAGAAATGCTTATCATCTTGTACAGGAGGGTCTTGGTAATGGAATACATTGATGGGGTCCCAATTTTAAATCTTGGAGAAGAGATAGCCAAAAGAGGAATAAATCCCGGTGGTAAGATAGCAGCAGCTGCAAAGCAGTAAGCACCTTCCCAGAGAGAGTGTGGGTCTCTTGTGCAGACATTTTCTCCTGTCCTTGACTTCTCTTCTGCCTGCTTTCTGTTATCGATCTTTGACTAGTCTTTTCATGAAATATGTTTGGCATAGTTGACTTGTTTCTTTATTTTGCTCAACTTCTGGTAGATCTAGCCCTGATGAAACTTTTGTTGGTACCCGAATTCCCCAATGCGAGAATAACATCATGACACTTTTAAATGTTCTTAAGTGCAGGAAAATACTTAACAGTTTAACTCTCGCGTACGGGCAGATGATATTTAAGAGTGGTTTCTTCCATGCCGATCCCCATCCAGGAAACATTTTGATATGTAAAGGGTCAGAGGCAAGTGGGAATCTGACATTTTCACTTTGTGCACTGCATGCAGAGTCTAGATAGAGAGTATAGTCTTCCATATGCTTACTAATTGTTATCTAAATGGTTCGCCCAGTTCCTTTCCTGGATAATTATGAAAATGGGGAATAGGGTTTTTGGTAATATGACAAAGCCATTCATGTTCGTCACCCAAGTAACTGAATTGTTTTCGCCTTTATCATCGTTTTCCTTTCTGACGTTGGGCCCAATTCTTGATTTCTTGCATACTTGTTCTTTATGTCATGGAAACATCTCAGTAAATATATTCAGCATATCTCCTACAAGATGACAGAACCATTCGTGTTTAGTATGAAAATTGTCTAACTTTTGCCATCTGCATTTAACTTAGGTTGCGTTGCTAGACTATGGGCAAGTGAAGGACCTCCCCGCTAATTTGAGGTTTGGATATGCTGAATTGGTACTTGCTATGGCTGATAATGATCCAATAGGTGCAACAAAGAGCTTCAAGTAAGTACCTTGTGGCTTAATGGTTCTAATCACATAAGTAAATTTAATCGGTTGGCTGAGAAAAGAACCAAAGTGAAGACCTATATTGAGCTGCACGAGGGTTCCATAAATAAAATCGAAACAGGAAGTCTGCTTGTTGGCTTCTGCATGTGTGGCTGAATGTCAAGTTTGCTGCAGTATATGCATTTCTGCGAATTTTGCTAATGTCTAATTGCTATTTGTGCTGAACTCTGAACCATCTTTGGCTGCTGGATTAAGTGCATCATCTATTCGTTGGTTTCCCTATGCAGGGATCTCGGCATCAAGACCTTAAGCAAATGTGACAAAAACGAAGATCAGGAAATGCTTAAGTTGGCACAAACAATGTTCGATACAGGATTACCCCCTGGGGTAACAACTTTGCAGCCTTTCTCTGAGGGATCTTCACTAGAGAAGTTCTCGGTCGAGGTGAGCATAAGTAGTAGGTTCATGGATGATTAATTTTTAAAATGTTGATCAAAGTTGCTTTCTTGGGCTAGTAGATGTTTTGTCTACTACTAATAGAATCCATTGTTTGGGAAGTGAGGTCGAAAGAATCAATTATCTTTAGTCCTTGACAATTTGCTTCTGGGTGATGCTTCAACCAGGGCTTCCCAGAGGAGCTATTTTCGATACTTAGGACAGTACATCTTCTGAGAGGCCTCAGTGTTGGTCTTGGGCTTAATTACTCGTGTGCAAAACAGTGGAGACCCATTGCAGAAGAAACTTTGCATCGGGCTGGCAGATTGAAAGGTTTTTTTATTTCGTAACCTTCCATGTTTCTTTCTTAGTTCTAAGTTTGTTCCGTATTTTGAAGAGCTTTCCAGTCAGAAGTGTTGATCTAGAGTTTTGGGTAATCTTTACAGACTTCTATTTGCTTTTGAATTGCATTGAAATTTTCCTGAACTGTGGTGATTCCAGATACAGACCGGAGAGCTCCAGTTCGAAAACACGGATTCTTCAAGAGATTATTCCGCAGGAAATGATGAATTTAGGTGTTGAGAAAGACAGGGAACATGGCATTTTCTAATCTGCACCTTCTAACGCTGTTGTTTCATCTTAGAGTGCTGATTATTTACTCACCCACCATTGTTACCGTTCCTTACAAGTCTTCATTTGTAACAACTGAACACAGTTCTTTCATGACGCTGTCTGTAGTCTGTGCTTGTATCATATACAGTTCCGAGTATATGGAGATGGATTGTTTGTTGTGTTGGTTTAGTTCTTTGGCTTTTGGAGGTTGCTTTATTTATAGGTCGTCTCCTAACGTCCTTTTTTGTACATGTTGAACGTTTTGTTTTCGCTCGTGGTTATTTTGGTGTACATGTTTGCTTTCTAGAGGTGGCAATTTCAATCCAATCCACCAATTCAATCCATCAATCCATTAAAAATATCCACCTAATCCAATCTATTTAAATCCAATCCATTTGATCCAAATCCAATTGGATTGGTGGATTCATGGATTGGATCCATGGATCATTGGCAAATTACGGTTTAGTTCCTATAATTTTTATTTTTTACATTTTGGTACCTTAAGTTTTATTTTTTATATGAAAAATATCATTGGAAAATTACGTTTTGGTACCTAAAATTTTTCATTGTGACATTTTAGTACCTAAACTTTTTACATTTTACATATTGGTCCTTGGTTGATGATGTCATTTGGATTCATGGATAATCCACCAATCCACTTGATCCAATCCATGAATCCACCAATCCATTAGATCCAATCCATTTGATCCACGGATCCACCAATCCACCAATCCAATCCATTTGCCACCTCTATTGCTTTCTTGATAATGCAGTTTCAACCACTCTGAAAGGGCTGGTCCGCTATTGATATGAATGGGAAATTTGTGCCTTGATTTCGTCTTATCCCGGAAGGAAGTATAGAGGGCACCTACTAATTCTCTCCTAGCTGGGTTGAATAGGAGATATGAGGATATTGTAAGCGTCACACAATCTGAGGAAGAACCACGTAAAATCGTGTCTTCGTTTTACCTTCCCTGTACAGTTTTACATGGTATCAGAGCTTCAAGCTCCATCAACCTATTGATTTAAGTCATGAGTGACGGTGAAGATTCTTCCGCCGTCTCCATTGGTACAAGCAGCAAGGGACCGACGCTCTGTCTGAAGTTCTTCTCTTCCATCGTTCGGATGGCCCGGGGAACATGTTAGTTTGGGACACTTTGACGGCATCCAATTACGGTGAATGGGCTCTTGACATGAAAGACGCTCTTCTCGCGAAGAACAAGTACGGGTTTGTTGATGGCTCTTTGCCCAAACCCACCAAGCCAGTTGAGCGAGATGCATCCGATGCGACGCCATGGTGAAGGGATGGCTCAAAACATCGATGGACAAAGAGATCCGCAGCAGAGCTCGCTTTGCTGAAATCGCCCAAGATATCTGGTCTGACCTTCTTCATTTTTAAGTCGTTTTTGAAAATTTTTGCACAGAAGGAACGAGTTCATCATGATCTACTGGATCTACAAATTTTTGGGTGAACAAAATACAGGATAAACAAGTACCGCATAATATCACCCTGGTACGTGGTAGTATCTTGTGGTACACAATGTTGAAAGTTTTAAATGACACTCCTACTAGCATGTATTCAACCATCCTACAGTCTTGGTATGTTGTACGCTTTATACCATATGTTATAATCTTATTTCAATACCAGTCAATACCATATGGTATAGACTGGTAAAAAATGGCTCAATTTTTTTTTATCTAAAAATATATCAAAGTGGATATAATTTTGAAGAGAACAATTAATCTGATCTAACTGTGCAAAAAAAATCCGACTTAAAACGATTGAGAAATCGTCTGTTAAAGATTAGTTGGGAGGGGGGGGGGGGGGGGTTTAAAGACTTTACAGGAGGGAGAAGGGGTGATGATGTGGTGGATGGTGATTGGCTTATGCATGGTTACTGAACTATGGGTTACTTACTAGATTCGCTCCCGTTTGACCGTGTCTTCCAGGGTAACCGAAGTTGAGGAGTTTTGTAGAATACTTAACAACAAATTGATTTGAGGAAAAAGTCATACTATACTCTAAAATATTCTGAAACAATATTGGTGTTTTGAAGTTGAATTGTATCATATCATTATAGCTATATGTTCGGTTTGTATCATAAACGAGTCTGTATTTTTATATTAGTGTATAAGTTCAGTTTGTACCATAACATAATGACACAAAATCTATTTGTATCATAAAGAAATCTGTACAAATAGGTACAAATTCAAAATGAATTTGTATCATAATGTGATATATAGAAGTTTAGTTTGTACCAAAAAAAATTATAATTAAAAATTAAATTTGTAACATAATGTTAGAGGTACTAATTCCGTTTGTACCAAAATATTATTTTAAACCAAAATACCTATGTTATAAAGCATTGCAAAATTCGTCTTGAGAAAATACTTTGATGTGTATACAAGCTTTAATAATTAATAGCAAATAAATATTTGGAAGGGAAGAGAAGACGCAAGAAAAAGAGACGAGTTTCTCCAGAACTAGATCCGCGGCAATAAGACTATCTACGTCCACTAGGAGGTGGGAAAGGAGAGAAATTTAGAGAAATAAATTGAGCAATTTAGCTTCAAAGCCACAATAATAGAAGGGGAAAAGGTGGGAAAGGGTAAAAACAATTTTGATTGAAATCAATTGAGTGTTGATTTTGATTGTGACTTGAGGAGAAGTAACTGTCACTTCTCTATTAAGTCCATAGAGAAAGGGAAATCATAAGTTTTGTATGTGCTTGTAGACACCATGTGAGATGTTTCTTTAGATTACCCCACCCTTTATTTGAAGTATGATCACTTTTTTCTATTATTATTTTTCATAGTTGTCAACATATCGAATGATCATTATATTTACTCACGTACCAACATCCTGCATAGTGGTACACTTTGCTCCCTAGATCATGAATCAATTCAAAGACTAGTTGATATAAGCCGAGGCTCCAACTTCTGGACAATCAGAATCGCAGCAAAGAAGGATTAGAAGCACAACGATCACAAAACGGATAATAACCCAAACCAAATCCACAAGTCGGGAAGAGGGCCAGGTATACGAAGGACTATTCAGCTAGGGTGATGAGCTAGCAGAAAACTTCGGATTCCTCTTGCTGAATCGATTCCACGATCAAGAAAGAAGAAGAAGAGAAGTTGGTGTTTGAACAACCAATTCTAGGGTTTTTAATTCTAAATAAAATTGTTGATTATCCTCTAAAAGACTTAGTTCAGTCCCTTATATAGGCTACAAAGTTTTTGGGCCAAATATAACAAGGAAACTCGAGTTTAGGAATATAAGTCACATAATAGGCAAAGGAAACTGAAAATAGGTTGTCTTCTGCCAAAGGCAAAAATACCCTATCGTGACTTAAAAATACCCGACAAGGTATTTTTCCGTCACGACAGAGGGGTCTTCTAGTTAGGAAAAAATACCCTATCAAAATACCGGACCGGGTATTTGACCTTCTTGACCGGGTATTTGGCCTGCAACATCCCCAACACCAATGATCATCACTTCTCGTCTCACGAACAAGTCAGCCTCCATTTCAGTGAAGTTTTGGGCCAAATAAGCTTGAAATGGACCCTTGAATGCCTTCTCGAGCCTCTAAAGCCTTCATTTTCGGACCACGATCATTGTATCTTCTTTGAACTCGATGGACATCTTGTGATGTAACCCGGTTTGCATCATTCCCTCCCCATTCAAAAAGATTTATCCTCAAATCTTGTGGCTGCATATAGGCTCCATTGTTCGACTCCATCTCCCTCGACTTGAACTATGTACCATAAAAGAACAAACTTTCTCCACAATCCCACGGAATCAAGAGCTCAAACAACCTATCAAACATAGGCCCCGAATAATGAGTTTCAAAGCTCAAGGCATCATGAATGTTGTCGTGAAACCTCCAGCCAGGTTTTCAAACATAATAGGTTGCTCCAGCGGCATCCAAACTTGCAGTTACTCGTCCAAAACCTTCATCCCTCACTAGACTCAGGCCACCACCATCTGCCCTCTTGCCATCAAAGAAATCAGTCATCTAAAGCAAGCTATCAAAGATCAAAGCTTGACGACTCGTACACTTCAAATCCTTATCAGAATAAAAACAAAAAGGACCGTGATAGCTTGATTCAATGCATTCTATTTCAACCACTTCAGCTCCACCACTTTCCTTTACTGCAACTTCTTCTACTTCCTTCTGATCCAGACAATTGGCCGATGGCTTCTTTTCTTTGACTTCCTCCTGATCTGGAAGGGTTTTGACTTCCTCGACTTCCTGTTCTTCATCGACCTTCTCTGCTTCCAGATTCTCCTGTGCCTCTTCATAAAGTCATTGTAATCGCCTCCTATCTTCAGAAACCTCTTCCAACGATATTGGTTTTAAGGCAATCTTCCTTCCTTGATGACTGATGATGATATGATTGCGGCTGTGATGTTGTCGTGCTTGGCGATCATGATGCAATGGTTCACCAAGTACCACGTGAGTCAGCCTCATAGGCACGACATCACACTGAATCTGATCCACATAAGTCCCAAGTTGAAACTCCACAGATGCTTATTCAGTCACATATACAAAATCGTCTTCCATTGACAATCGCAATAGGTAAGGGAAATTACGTTGTTGTGTAGTTAGCCCTAACTTAGCTATTGTCCTCAAACTGATCAAATTGGATTTGATCTCTCCATCCACCACCACAAAACAACAAGTTCTCTTGAACCAGACAAAGAGTACAGAACAGATTACCTTGCTCAAACTCGTCCATGTCCGCGGCACAAGTAAGCTCCAAGAACCTTCAGAGTTCTCTATGAAACTTCAGGAATCTTCTCTCTTTTTTTTCTTTTCTTTTGTTTAAAAACAGAAACTGAATATTAACCTTCTTGGCGGCGGTTAAGAACACAAGACCCGATGTGTCTCGTTCTCGCACAAGAAAGGAGGGATACGTGTGTCACTGTGTTGAACCGGAGCTCTAATACCACCTGATATAAGCCGAGACTCCAACTCCTGGACTTAAACAATCAGAATCGCAGCAAAGAACGATTAGAAGCACAACGATCACAAAATGGATAATAACCCAAACCAAATCCACAAGTCGGGAAGAGGGCCAGGTATACGAAGGACTATTCGGCTAGGGTGATGAGCTAGCAGAAAACGCCGGATTCCTCTTGCTGAATCGATTCCACGATCAAGAAAGAAGAAAAAGAGAAGTTGGTGTTTGAACAACCAATTCTAAGGTTTTTATTTCTGAATAAAATTGATGATTATCCTCTAAAAGACTTAGTTCAGTCCCTTATATTGGCTACAAAGTTTTTGGGCCAAAAATAACAAGGAAACTTGAGTTTAGCAGTATAAGTCACATAATCCGCAAAGGAAACTGAAAATAGGTTGTCTGCTGCCAAAGGCGAAAATACTCTATCGTGACTCAAAAATACCCGACATGGTATTTTTCTGTCACAACAGGGGGGTCTTCTGGTCAGGCAAAAATACCCTATCAAAATACTCGACCGGGTATTTGACCTTCTTAACCGGGTATTTGGCCTGCAACAGCCCCAACACCAATGATCATCACTTCTCGTCCCACGAACAAGTCGGCCTCCATTTCGGTGAAGTTCTGGGCCAAACAAGTTTGAACTGGACCCTTGAATGCCTTCTCGAGTCTCTAGAGCCTTCATCTTGGGACCACGATCATTGTATATTCTTCGAACTTGATGGACGTCTTGGGAAGTAACCCGGTTTGCATCACTAGCAATTCATAACATTTTAGTATGGATAATGCATAAGAGAGTGTGTCATTATTAAAATGCTTTTGGAAATTTTTGCACATAACACACATGAACAAACATTAAGGTAAACCACATCCCATGCTTAAAATTGTCCAATGTTCCCATTGGGCCCATGATCTTGTATCCTCGACCTCCTGCTGATCCATTGGGTCCCTTTGTGATCCATATTCGTCTAGAGTGCATTCTCTCCTTGAAAAGTGTAAAATAATATAAATAAAATAGTACAAAAACACACTCAAGGTCTATCATAAGCTCATAAATCAAATAATTATGAATTTCATACGAAATATAATCAAACCCACTAAAGGTGCATTGATAGAAGGGGAAAATGTATCAAATATGGGAGTGTTAAACACTATGAATACAATGTCATCAAGAAGGCATCCAATGGTACATAAAGGGGTTGTCAATTTACAAACCCCCTAAGGAGTTAGCACGGTATCTCATCCCATTCCCACCCCTTGGCCAACACTTATCCCTCCCTTACCCTTATCCTTATAATATTAATAATAGTAACATTAATAATAATATAATATACACCAAAAGTACCTAATAATTTATCTTCAATTACAAAAAAGAGATAAAAAAAATGTTTATTGGCAATCTCTAAATCGAAAGTAACATTAAAAAAATAAAGGCAAAATACATCTGTATAGGCATAACTTTCACAATTGGGACAAATATAGCCATAACTATCGGAAAACACAAAATAGCCACTTCCGTCCATTCCATTCACAGTGTCACTTAACGGTATGACTGGACCGACGGAAAATGCTTAGTTAGCAATTTATGGTCCCCACCAACTGACGTGGATTAACACAAAAAGAAAATATAAAAACATAAATGCCCAATACTTCCTGACATCGGCTTCTCCCTCCCAACCTTCCCTCTCTCTCGTTATGGTCAATAATTTGGAATTGAAATTGCCTAATCGAACTTCAACATTACAAAATTTGAAGAATTTGGAATTGGAATTGCCCTAATCTAGTTGCCTAGATTGCTAGATCTCGATGCATTATAGGTTTGCGAGGATGAGGCCGACGAAAGCTTATAGCTAGACAATGGAGTCGAAGGGACATGGAAGTCGCCATTGCGGACTAGGAGAGTGGTGGAGGATCCGAGAATATGAGGCGTGGTAGAGGATTGAAGAAGAGGACAAATGCAATCCTTGGATTTAAGGGGGTTTCTGAGTCTAAGAAGAAGCCAAGGAATGCAGTGGCGCCATCGCTCGCCGAGGTGGGTTCCGCCTTGGAAGGGGGTTGGGTGGGACGCGGCGGAAGGTCATCAAAAGCCTCTTCTTCGAGATGGACGTGGTGGTGCTGTGGGGGGGGGGGGGGGGGGAATGATGCTGGTGGTGGTGGTGGGAATGAATCTAGGAGACCATGTTGGTGGGTTCATACTTCTTCGCCGGAGGAGGAGGATGAAGTGGGTGGTCTAGATATTCCTCTTTCATGGGATTTTCTTTCCAGCTTTGCCGCCTCCAGCTTGTCTTCTTCTTTGGAATAGGAAGACAATTCAGTTGTCGGGTAGTAGTTGGATCGACGACGAGTAGTGGAAAGAAGATGGAGCGAGAGGGGGAGTAGGAGTGAGGGCGGCGGCGAAATCGTCTAGAGATTTAGATTTATGTTAGCAGTGGCGGATGTCAAAGATGGGGAGGTATGGAGGACGACTAGTGGGGAGAGAGGAAGAAGCTCATTTTTATTTTAATTAAGTTTATTTTTAATTAATTGATGACGTGACATCCCAAATGCCCTTAAAGTTTCTAACAGATTTAGCTAGATTTTTCACACTACTGTCTAATTTTTGGGCTATTTTGTGTTTTTCGATAGTTATGCATTTATTTGTCCCAAATGTGAAAGTTATGGCTATATAGGTGTGTGTTGCCAAGAATATACGGCAACTGCTATTGCTGCACTCACTCCTTATCAGGTTTTCAGTCCCATGAGTTCTAAATACGGGATAAAATGAACCAATTTATATTTGGACACGACCAAATCGGATCAAATGCAATGATGATTCGGTCATTGATTCTAAATTTTTTTACTATTGGACTATGATTCTCATGATTTAGTCCGATCCGAATCCATCACATCCTACTCCTAAGGCTGGAGCCGACCCCATCCTAGGCCTCAAGCTTTGCTCTTCTATAAAGTAATGATTAATAAACCGTATTGTAACGGCGGTTCATCGCAAAGAAGATATCCGAGGCAAAACTGGAACGGTATGATCAAAGGAGGCAAAAGATTGGGCTAGCTTATTTTTAACAATTGAATCGTCTTACTACGGTATTTTGTCTGGTTTAATCAAATTGAGCAACCCGGAAACAAAAAATAGTTCTCCAACATCAAGGCGATGTTATTTTTATCAAGTTAGCGAAAAAGACAAACCCTAATCATCCATAGCCACTCAGCCAACCCACCAAACACTCATTTCCAATTTTGTATCATCCGCCGTCCTCTTCTTCAACAGAGCATCGGAGGCTCTAATGCTCTGCACAAAGCCAAAAACCACCATCCCTCCCTCTCCTCTACTCCTCCATCGATAGCGTCAATACAACTCTGACAGCTCAGCCACCGCGAGCTAGCCTCCACCAACCAAGCACCTATGTCCTTCGTCTATGCCCGTCTGTCGCTCGCCGGTGCCGACCGTCGTTGCCGTCCATCTTTGTCATTAGTCCTCGTGTACCAATCTCGACCATCAATGAAAAGAAGGATTCACTAATCAATATGTACAACAATGTGATGGAGATTTAAATCCTATAACCAAAGAGAAACTAGGAATGAGAGGACCTATATGTAGTATGTAGTTATGTGCAACTAGAGGTGGCAATTCTCAATCCAATTCACCAATCCATTAAGAATATCAAACTAATCCAATCCATTTAATCCAAATCAAATTCGATTGGTGGATTCATGGATCATTGACAAATTACAGTTTATTACCTATAATTTTTATTTTTTACATTTTGGTACCTAAAATTTAATTTTTATACAAAAATATCATTGAAAAATTACATTTTGGTACCTAAAATTTTTCATTATGACAATTAAGTACCTAAACTTTTCACATTTTACATATTGGTCCAAGGTTGAGGATGCCATTTGGATTCATGGATAATCCACCAATCAATTTACAGCATGACATTTCCAGCAACCAAGTATTACAAATCCGCTTGCAGTATGGCATCAACTTTCTTAGGATCCGGTCTTGATCCACCATGAACAACTTTGCAGCGCTCTCTCCATATAGAAGTCAGCACCATACACCACACAACCCCATGCCAACTCGCATTTCCTGAGGGCCGAACCATAGAGCTTGCTGTAGCTAGCATTGTATCCCAATTCCCAGCATCAAACAACCTGCAATTTAAACTCGAGACAAGGCGGCGAGAAAAAGAATAGTGTTGGAAAAGATGTTCTCTAGACTCCATTGGAAATGTACACATTGGACAAGAAGCAATCGTCAACTTCCACCAGCTCAATAGCTTATCCTTCGTCACAATAGCATTTTTCACGATAAGCCATGCAATGAAACTGTAACGAGGGGGACAAAACTTACTCCATACGAGCTTAAACCAAGGCACCTCAGATTGCTTTGCACGCAAAGACTCCCAAACCTGTCGAACAAAATATACATGTATCAACTTTGCTCCCCAATAGATTTCACCATCCATTTGCTGTATCCATGGCCTTAGGCCCTGTTCACTTTCATTTTCGTTTCCTGTTTTCTGTTTTCATGTCATAAATTTGGTAACCGAAATGAGAAAACTTGTTTACTTTTCATTCCGTTTTCTATTCGTTTCCAACTATGAAAACAGAAAGTGGCAACTTCCTGCTGTTTTCGGAAACGACAAAATGTTGTTTTCACCTATTTTCAACATCTGTTTTCTCAAAAACAGGAAACAGAAATGAAAGTAAACAGGCCCTAGTTTATCTCTTCTTTTGAGTAATCTCCTCCAGGTCCAGAAACTGTTGTATTGAGATTTCATCGACCATATAAGGGGTTTTTGGTATAACTTTGGCTACTTCCACATACTTTCAGAAAAAATAACTATGATAAAATTTGTAGTCCTTAAAAATTTATGCAAAATAAATTTTTTCAAAAAGTATGCGGAATAAAAAAAAAATTGCTACGGTCGGATACTCGAGCACAAAGTTACGTTCGTTTGATGTTTCAAGAAAAAACAAATTTCGCAGGCAAACCGTAGGGTGGGGTGGTGGTTGTGCCTGACCGTTGATGTGGCGCACGGTCAATCTGACCGCACCGGCCCTATACTGTTTTCAGTCGGCCGGATCGAAAACCGCGGCACTCCCTGCGGTTCTCGTGTAAACCGTCATAGGGGTCCGCAGTTTTTTGGAAATTTGTAATATTTTTAGAATTTTTCGAAAAAATAGGTGTAATTTTTGGAATGTTTTTTTGAGTTGTATTCCTGGAAATTAGAAGGGATATTTTGGTAAATGCGTAAAAAATAGACCACCCCTCCAATAAATACCAATCAGCTCGGCTACCAAGTACCAAGTCTTCGCAAATTAAAAATAATAAATTTGATTTTTTGGAAATATAACTGTCCTCATCGGTAGACTGATTTCCCGATAGTTATATGCTGCCTCCTCCTCGCTTCTGCATCATCAGCAGCACCCGTCTTCCGTTTCAAATTCATCCAAGGCCTCCCATTTTCAGGTGAGCTGAGCGGAAGATTTCAGATGGAATTTGATTGATTATATCTGTTGATATCTAGCTTCTGCTTAAATTTTGTTACACAATTAACGGTCTTCCCTTCGTGTTTTTTCTTTGCATTGGATTTGCTAGTTCGATGAGCTCCAGCAAGTCGGAAACGGTGCCTCCGATCTTGTCGCTGGCTCTTCCCTCCGATACCGGTCGAGTTCTTAGCATTCAGTCTCACACGGTGCAGGTATTTTGGCTCAGTCTCGTGTTCCCTTTTCTCTCAGGCATTCTGCAGGTTGGAAAATTGACTTGCTTGCTTATTTGGTTTTGATGTGGAAAGCTCTACCTAGTCTTCCGTTGAATTCTGTCTTAAGCTAGTTAAAAGTTTATCCCTTTGGTGCAGTTCAGGTTATCTAGATGAAAGAGTTGAATGTGCTTTCATATTTCGATCCGAGCTTGCTCCTTCTCTTGTAGTGTTATGTACTGTGAGCAATCGAAATCGGTTGAGAGTACTTTGGAGCCTAGGTGCTAATGTGCACGATCATACCCTACAGCTCCTGCATGCTAGGCGATGCCTATGTTTAACAGAACACATTGCTAGGCAATGTAATATCCCTTGGATTTAGTTTGTTGCTGCCATAGTCCGAGACCCTGTTGCCTAATGCATAATATGAATGCTCAATCTATTGCTTAACATTTCACTTTCAGGCCTACTTGAAAATGCCATCATTTAACAATCTATTTTTTTAAGCTCCCAAATTATTTCATGGCCACAATCATGAGTGAAATTGTTGTTATAATGCCTTAAACGTTTCTCTATCATGCAGGGATATGTTGGTAACAAATCAGCTGTTTTCCCTCTCCAGCTATTGGGCTATGACGTGGATCCTATCAATTCGGTACAATTTTCAAACCACACAGGCAAGTGTATATCTTTGATGCCTGGTGTATTAGTTGGTGTCACTTATCAATATGTACATGTTCCAGCATTATTTCCTTGACACAACTTCCTTATTCAGTTTCTTCCATTGAAATTTTGTAGGTTATCCGAGCTTTAAAGGACAAGTTCTGAATGGACAACAACTATGGGAATTAATAGAAGGCCTTGAAGCAAATAATTTATTATTTTATACTCACCTGCTAACAGGTAGGGTAAGCACAACTGTGGTTTTCCTTTAACATTGTTTTTTGTTTTTAGTATCATACTTCTTCATTTACTTCACCTTTAATCTAATGGTAGCAAAGCTGTTAGCATTTCTATATTCATGATAGAAGCATCCACTCTGCCTCTGTTTCTCTCACACAATCCTTGCTTGATGTCTTTTTTAGTTGTGATGTGTTTGAATTGTCTCTGTTTAGGAAGGCATCACTTCTTTTTTCATGTTTCGTATGTATTTTAAACCACTACAATCTTGCGTTTAATAATCTTTTATTGTTTCTTATAAACCTCATGTGGTAGGGTCATGATTTGGATCTGAACTTGGTAATATGAAATTCTCAGCATTCTATGACAAACCGGATCCCCTGTTTAGTACAATTATGGAATCTGAAGATTGTCTAATCAGAGTATGAATTCACATCTAGGCAGAAAATGTGTTAATGTTGAAAAACACTTCCCGCGCTTGGATATTTAATTGTCATGAAATGAACTTGTCATTGAATTGGTTGAAAAAGGACCAAGTTTGTGGTATTTTTGCTAATTTTTGTTTCACTGTTGCATTTACGTATAACAGTATCTTCTGTTAGTTAGTCATGCATTTGTATTTTCGTTCTCCTTTGCACTATTGTGAATTTTGAATTTTAGAAATGTCATGCTTAAAAATCTGCAATTCTTTTCTACATATTTGACTACTTAATCAGACTTTATGTCTCTGCTGATACTGATAAAAGCCCTTCGTATTCACTTATTAAAAGAAATCCCTTGGTGATCAGTATTTTTAATTCTAAAGTACAAGAGCAAATAGAAGTTTGGAATGTTTCGGTTTGTTTTAGTTATTTCCCTATGTCGTAAGATGCATCTCTGCAGTGATTCTAGACCGTCTTAGATAAGGTGGGGTTTGTAGAAATGTGAAGTTTGGTAAGGATAGCTGAAATGCTGATCTAGTTAACTGATGGACGCATAACTAGAATGATAGTTGCATGTGTATTTGTAAATCACACTGGCACTTCTACTCCATAACCATATTGGGAAGGTCTGGGTTGATGATGCTATTGAAGTTTCTATATCCTGTGCATTTTCTGGTGATCTACCAAAATAACTGTGGTGTGTAAGGTTTCCAATTTAGTCAAATTAAGATCCATTAAAATCTGCCAAAATGATGGTATTAAAGAGAGAGAATCTTGCCCTGTAATCTTACATTGGTATACGGCATTAAATCTGCTTCTGTATCTTTCTAAGATATGTATTTGCTATTATAGTTTCAGCCACAGCTTTTCTTTATTTTCCTCATATTGCTTCAAATTCTGATGTTTTACTTGGCAGGCTACATAGGTTCAGTGTCATTTCTGAACACCATATTGGAGGTTGTCAAGAAGCTTCGTACGATTAACCCAAAGCTCACTTATGGTAAGTCAGATCATTGACACATTTGAAGGATGGGATTTTTCACCTTGACAGGGCCCTCAGAAAGTTCTGTTGCATTTCTTGTGACAAGAAATGGATTTTTGAACCTTGCTTCTCTTGAGTTGTTATCTTGAATATATATTAACTAGGTAGCATTGGCTTGTGACTGTTGTTGCCTACATCTTAGTGGTTAAAATTGAGCTTCATAAGATAGACCTTAAAGAACTAGTTCCTGGCTCGAAATGCTGGTTACTGGCAGGCTATTTCCTCTTTATCGCCAAACATTTAAAAAGAACAGAGAATTGCACATAAAATTTGTGATTGAAGAGGATAAAGGTTATATAATTGAATTCCATAATGTTTGAGTCCGCAGAAATTAGCTTGTGTTTTAGTGTGTACAACGTGTGACACTTATAATGAGATAGTGTCTACGATTGGAACCATGGTTTATAAGATGTGAATTCTTCTTTCTTTTATCAGTGAGTTTATGTAGGACTTGATAGGTTGAGCTGTAATAAGACTGTTGTTTGTCTCAGCTGGGTCCTTCAATCTTTTGTTGAAAGAAATTTGAGAGTATAGTTCCCATTTCTCTGTAAACTTGGGATAATAGAGAGTTAGAAATATCAGATCTGCATTCTTTTTTCCTTTTTTGTGCTTAATTCAATTTATAGATCTTGAAATCAGTCAGATCAGTGATGTATTTTTGCTTCTGGTTAAGTTATGTGTTCATGCAAAGAGCTCATAAGCATTGAAAGCCCCATTTATAGTAAATCCAAAACTGTTTTTGGTATTTGGGTTCTTGTAAAGAAAATATAAGATCTCTGTAGAAGAAACAAGAACTAATTGTAGATATTTTCAACCAAGATACAAAGGCATTAGTTCTTTCTACTTTCCTGGAGTCTACTGGAATGAGATAACCAATTGATTTGTTTTCCTTTTTTCCAATGTATCAGAATCCTCAGATCATCTTAGGATACACGAGATACCAATGATGTAGTTCTTACTCTTAGTAATTGGATTCTCCTTGAATTGGAATGCGTTAATCACTAAGGTTTTTGCCGTGTAAAAAAATGAACTATGTGGCGTGTCTTTGATTTGAGCTCATTTAAATTAAGGCTTAAATTAAGGCAGATATGTATTGATCTGAAAACAATACACTAGGAAGTTTTTTAATTACATCACTCCCGTTTTGTTGTCTAGTTTGTGATCCAGTGATGGGCGATGAAGGAAAGCTGTATGTTCCGCCAGACCTGGTTGCAGTGTACCGTGAGAAGGTGAGCACTACTTTCTCAGATCTGATTAATGGAGGTGTAGAGATTCTCTATGAAACATGACTTTAACGTTTCTGATTTCTATATGTGGATTGAAGATTCGAGCTAGAAAAGTCACTTTGAACTTTTGGAGTCGAAACTAGTTTGTAATATTTGTTACAATTTTCTGTCCATGTACTTTCCTCAAGCTTTTCATTTTATTGTGCTTGTGTGGTGGCCAGGGGTGGGGGTTATTTATCAAAGTGACATTATCTTACTTGCTGACTTTTGTATGGATAGGTCGTTCCAGTGGCTTCCATGTTGACTCCTAATCAGTTTGAAGCTGAACAGTTAACTGGCTGCAGGTGTTGACTGCATGCTTTTCTAGTTATGTTCCCTACTGTCTGGTGACCCCATCAATGTGACTCGGAATTACTTTTACTATTTGAATGACTTTAATGAAAATTTTGAAAAGAAAGTACTATCTTCAAGAATTATAGTCCCCCTTGTTCAATCAATACTGCTCTTTTCTCACATAAGGCTCCTGTACAGGATTGTGTCCGAAAGTGATGGCCGTGAGGCTTGCAACAAACTTCATGCTGCTGGGCCTTCAAAGGTTTTCTTCCGACTGTTTGATTTCTCCCACCCCCTTTCATGTGCTTACATCTTATCATACACTTCTGATATATTTAATTTTTATTTCTAAATCATGGACGGTTTGACTTGGTTCATCGTATTAGTGAATTGATGCACATGATCAATGTGTATTTTTAACCCTCAGGTAGTGATTACCAGTATTAACATTGGTGGTGGACTTCTTCTTATCGGCAGTGATAAAAGGGAAAAGGTTGGTCCTCAGTAGCAATTTTGTTTTCTGTTCGTTTAAGGGCCATTATCTCGTGCAGTATAAAGTGTTAAATCCTTCAATAAAGAAGTCCCACCCCAAAAGTTCTTGCAAGTAAGTGCAGATTCACCTAAGGTAGTTGCCAGGGGGGGGTAAGATGGGATTATTGTTTATCCAACTTTTGGAACCATAGCAGAGCAATGGCCTCTTAAGATTTTCGATCTTTATCTGGTTCTCATTTATCATGTTTCCCATTTTTTCCTTTTCTCAAATGTTGCTCGCAAGTGAGCCTTTGGGTAGCCTCTTATGAATATGATAATGTCCATGTTGTTTGTAGGGCCAGTCACCTCAACAGTTCAGGATTGCAATACCCAAAATTCCAGCTTATTTTACGGTACTGCAAGTTCCTGCTAAATCCTTCTCATGCTCATCACTTCTTTCAAATGATTACCAAGGCAGATGTACTATTTTTATTCATTACCTGGTGTGCAACCTGTTGAAGTATAAAAAGATATACATTCACATCTCATTTAGAACTGAAGTTCTGAACTTGAATATGAACTACTTCTACCGAAACAGGGGGCTCAAAAATATGAACTACTACAGTGGTTTAATACTCGAGTTTAATGTGTTCTACCCCTTTTTTTGTGTATGGAGCTTCTAAATCTTTTATTCTAACTCCTGAATTATCGGGAAAGCATACGTATTCATTTATATCTGACTATTCCGAAGATGTTCTTTTTGGCTATTTGATTTAATCTTTCGGATACATGCTTGTAGGGAACGGGGGATTTAATGACCGCACTTCTACTTGGATGGAGCAATGTAATGCAACAGTTAACCTTCTCTTGAAGCGTAATTTGAGTTTAGGTACTCCATGTTTCTGTTAATTTGTTCTTCTTCCCTTTTCAGAAATATCCTGACAACCTTGTCAAGGCTGCAGAGCTTGCAGTATCAAGCTTGCAGGTCGGTGCTTCAATGTTTCACGCTGACCCATCTCACTAAACAAGTTTTCCCCCCTGTTCGATAACTATACATCTTTTCCTGTTGCACTGGAACTTAGGAATGAATCTAATTAATTGTTGAATGTTGGTTGGAGGGGAGTATCTGCAGGCTCTTCTGCAGAGGACACTGAGTGACTATGACAAGGCAGGTTATGATCCAGCAGCAAGCAGTTTGGAGATCAGATTGATTCAGAGTCAAGATGACATTCGCAACCCACATGTTCAATTCGAAGCCCAAAAATACTCTTGAGACAAAGTTATAGCTAGGGGGGTGCAACGATTTGGTTTCCACTGGATCGAATCAGGCCGAAACGATATTTGGATCGTATTGGAACAAGTCGAATATAGTTTCATTTGCTTTACTTTCTAAAGTCTAGTGTCGATTCGTTCTGGTTTTGGCTGGATGGCAGTAGGCATGCACATCCCTATTAATAGCACTGCAAAGTTATTGGTTTCAAACCTATTTATCCATCTTTACCTGTATAAATAAATTAAATGACATGAATGAATGCATCTCGTAAGGTCGTATCTTTTGTTTTTGGGTGTTCTTGAGATTCTGGTGCAATTACTCCTGACAATTGACGTTTCAGTTGCATCCTTTCCTACCCCCGTGCCCCTCTGGGATAAGATCAGATCAGGTGGACCTGATCTAAGTACATCTTACCCATTCAACCTAATTTAAATATGATGGTTCTAATGAATCTAATTTAATGAAAGATAATATAGTAATTGTATGATTTTTTAATTTTTAAATACTAATTAATTAAAAAACTCTCCAATTCTTCCGCGTTTCTTCTTCGGCTTGGAATTTTCTCGACGTCAATGTCCCATCTCTTCTCGCAGGCCAGGAATTCGACGTCCTGGGAATTTTCTTGCGTCATCTTCCCGTCCCCATGCGGCGGCCCATTTGTATCATTTCTCAAGGGAATTTCCCCCCTCCCATGAAGGTAGAGAGACAGAGAGAGATTTTCCTGCGATCGGAGGAGGAGAATTTCCGGCGACCAGCAGCGGAGGAGGATTTTTCGGCGGCAGTGTTGATTCTGTGATGTTTTTCGACTTATTTTGAAAGGTTTATAAGTTTGATTTGTAATGTTTATATCAATTCGGTTTGTATTTTTTATCTTGTTTGTCATTTTTTGTCCGTTATGTTTGTAATATTTATATGACTAATTTGTTTATATTGTAATTCGTAATGTTTGTTTGTCTAGTTTGTATATTTTATGTTACGATTTGTATACTTTGTGTTTGTTGGTTTGTAATACAAGTTTACCGATTTGTATTATAAGTAGTGATATTATGTACGGGTAGTATGCTTCGTAATGTTTGTCGGTTGTATTTGTTGGTTAGTAATACAAGTTGTTATCTTTGTAATGTTTGTCGGTTTCTTTTATAATGTTTGTAAGTTTTGTTATTTTGTTCCATCATGTTTGTAATTTTTGTCGATCAAGTTTGTAATGTTTTTATGTATAAAAAACAACATGGTTGACTTTTGGACGAAACTTCTCTATATAGAGACAGAGCCTCCAAAGTCAACCCAACTGTTTTTCCATTTTGTTTGGTTTGTCGGTCTAGTTTGTCATTTTTTTCCACCATGTTTGTAGTGTTTATAAGTCTAAAAAAGAAACAGGTTGACTTTTGGACGGTGCCCTCTATATAGGGATGAAGCCTCCAAAGTCAACTTTGTTGTTTTTCCATTTTTTATAGTTTTTATTGTTTGTCGGTCTACTTTGTATTGTTTGTATAATTCGTATGTTTTGTATTGTTTGTAAATCTGTTTGTATGTTTTGTCGTTCTAGTTTGTATTGTTTGTATGGTTTGTACTGTTTGTAATTCCGATTTGTATACTTCGTGATTTTTCATGATACCCAAATTACCCTTGTGAGGGTTTAGTCAAGTGATAAGCACCCCCTATTCACCTGATCCGCTCTCGTACCCCTCTAGAATACGCACGAAAGCAGAATCTCATGGGCATTGGATTAATAATCACCAATGACCAAACTCATTTTATGTGTTGCTTCGAATACTTGACTCAGTCAATAAAAATATCACAATCAAACTTGTCTGGGGTTACAACTGTACCTGGCCGACGCGGGCACGATTTATGCCCGTTTATCTCGTGTCGTACATGGAACGATCTGTCAGTTTTCGTGTCGTGCCAGATCTTTTTCAAATTTGTTCGGACCGATTCAGACCTGAGCATAGTTTGAATTGTGTGGTACTTATTGAAGCTCTGTGTTGTGCTCTATTCGTGATTGATGAAGGTTCAAACAGGGGTCAACTTAAGATTCTATCATGGAGGGGTTTTTTACTCGGTTTTTTTTTACAATGGTAAATCGTTACTTATATTCCTCAAATCAACCGTCAGGATACATCAGTAAAGAAAGAATCCAACTCATTCAAAACAGTAATCCAATCCCCGGGGAGTGATCTCTGATTGAAAGAGCGTGCAATCCAGTCTGCCCGAAAGTTGTACTTTCTTCGGATGAACGCATCCTTAATGCTTGGCACTCTGTTAAGAATGGCGGTCATAACACTGAGTCTTGCCGCACACGCCCACGGCCAACATTCAGGTGGCATTTCCATTGCGTTCACAAGGGATTGACAGTCTGATTTCACGTGAACTGTTGCGTTCAATCTTTCAGCTGCTATGATAGCTTCCTGAAGAGCCATAGCTTCAGCTTCAATTGGCGAGGAACAAGTAACAGGACCAGCCGCGCCATCACACACCTGTCCATGGTCATTGATAATCACATAACCATAAGCCGCCTCCTGGGATTCATTGTTGAATGAACCATCACAGTGAATCTCAAAACTGGGATTACTTGGCGGTGGAGCAGTGGTGTTCTGGGGTGGAGTACGTTGATCCGAAGGGAGTCTCTGTTGCATTGGGACCTTCGGGCACTCTGTCCATTGCTTCAGATCCCGAGCAGCATTGGAGCACGACCGAGGGGGCCATGGGGTGACATTGTCGAATACCTTTTTGTTTCTTGCTAACCAGATAGCCCACAAAAGGTAGATGATGAGGTGAGTTGACTGCTTTGGGATTCCTTTTTGGATCTGGAAAAGCCAATCAAGAGTATTAGTCAGCGGAGGGGGTGTGGATATGGATGGGAAATAAGCTTTCCACTTCTCTTGAGCATGGCCACACTCAAACAAGAGTGTCGAATGGTCTCCGGGCACCCCGCGCACACTGGACATTCAGGGGAGGGCGAGCAGTTGCGGGAGGAGAGCTTTGATTTTGTAGCCAACGCTCCTTTCGCACATCTCCACAGGAAGAACTTCATTTTTGGTGGAAGAGCAGTTCCCCAAAGCCATCTCCATTTTTCCTTCTCACTCTGTTGAGAGGTTGCAGAATGCCCACCGGTCAACTGGTTTCTATTGTGCACTGATCTATAGGCCGATCCCACCGAGAAACATCCATCAATTGTCGGTTTCCAGGCCCAGAAGTCAGCAACCTCCTGGTGGCCGATAGGGATTCTTCGAATAGCTTCCCCCTCTTGTGCTGATGTGAATCTATTCAGTCTTTCATCGTCCCAGACCCGGTTGTGTTGGTCGATCCATTCAGCCACCAAAACCGATGGTGGGTTCTGCCTCTGAATTCTTTGTCCCTGCAACGTTTGAATCCATAGATTATTGTACATCCTGGTGTTCTTTCCATTGCCAATTACTCTCAGGATATCAATCTCCAACTGTCCTTTAGCGAGCCACAGACTAGTCCAAATCCAGGATGACCTCGCCCCTTTCCTGGCAGTGAGGAAGTCACTTCGTGGGAAGTACAGAGCCTTAAGCAGTCTAGCCCATAAAGCTTCAGGGCTCACAAGTAGCCGCCAACATTGCTTCATCAACAAAGCAATATTAAAATTCTTGAACGATCAGAAACCCAGACCTCCCTCATCTTTACTCCTAAGCAGAATCTCCCCCTTATACCAGTGAATGGCCTTTCTTTGCATAGACCCTGACCAATAAAATCTCCTAACCAATGCATCCATTCTGTTCGTGATTGATGCTGGGAGCAAGGACAGGAACATAATATAAGTCGGAATTGCCTGCAACACTGCTTTGATTAGAGTCTCTTTCCCTCCTGGTGAAAGTACGAGACTTTGCCAGTTTTCCCCTCTACTTTCCATTCTTTGTATGAGAAAAGTGAACGTTTCCTTTTTGGAATTCCCCCATTCCGTTGGGACTCCAAGGTAGTTTGAATGATTGTTGGTATATGGGAACCCCAATACCTCACGAATCAAACCCCTCTCTTCCTCCAAAGTATTCGCACTGAAGAAAATCGATGACTTTTGTGCGTTGATTTCTTGACCCGTAATCGCCCCATACTCATTGATAATGCCCAAGATAGTGGTACCTTCATCCGCCGAAGCTTTGCCAAAAATAACCGTGTCATCAGCAAAAAGGCAGTGCGTGAGCTTTGGACACCTTTGGGTGAGCTTCAGTCCTTGCAGGTCATTTCTGGTAGCAGCTTTATCAATGAGGAAGGTAAGGGCATTAGACATCAAGATGAAAAGGAGAGGGGAAAGAGGATCTCCTTGGCGGATTCCTCTGGACGGGGAAAAATCCAAAGTGGGCTCTTCGTTAAAGAGGATTGAAAAATTTACCGTCCTGATGCACTCCCTCACCCAATTGCACCACCTATTATCAAAACCATATTTGGTGAGCAGAATATCCAGGCAATCCCAATCGACAAGATCGTAGGCTTTTCTCATATCCAACTTGAGCATCATATCCTTCTTATTTCCCACTTTATGCTTCTTGAAATGGTGCATAACTTCATGTACAATAATGATGTTATCCTGGATCTGTCTCCCCCCCTGTGAAAGCAGCTTGCAGTTCTGAGACCAACAAGGGGAGCCATGTCTAAAGTCTGGATGCCATAATCTTTGTAATAATCTTGTATCTGAAATTGCAGCAGCTTATTGGTCTGAACTGCGATATCAACTCTGGTGAGTCCACCTTAGGAACCAAAGTAATGTATGTATCATTCCAACCCTTTGCCATCTTCCCTGAAGTAAAAAACCCCCTCACTTCCTCACAGAGTCCTTCCCCCACTAGGGGTGGGCATTCGGTCGGTTCGGTTTCGACCGAACCGAAATTATGAATACCGGGTCCCCGAATACTCCCAAACCCCAAACCGAATTCGAACCGAATTAAAATTCGGTTCGGTCGGTTTAAACCGAATTATAATTCGGTTCGGTTCGGTTTTATACACGAAACCGAAATTAAGAGGCTACTTGTATCTTCTCACATTTAAATTATTTTTCACCCTTAATATAAACAACAAATATGTAATTATATGCATCATTAATGATAAAATCAAACTTTTCAACACATAAGTCATAAAACATTTCAAATATTTAAGTCTAAAAACAAATACAAACATAAAAATCCACCATTTGAGCTTGCAATTATAGTATTTCGGTTTTTCGGTCGGAAATTCGGAAATTCGGTTCGGTTGAAAGAACTCTGATTTCCGAAATATCCATATTTTCCTTCCGAATTCCGAACCGAATAGCATTAGTTCGGTTTCGGTTCGGTTTAATTCGGTTTCGGTTCGGTTC